TTCAGAAATGAACTAAATTAAACATTTTGGGTCTCATTTTGATTCAGTTGTTCAATTGGTTTGGGTTTTTGTTTGTAATACAAAATCCAAATATTGGTATAGAAAATGACAAACAAATTCTATTAACAATTTATTGCTCTCTTTCTCTCTATTTTACTATCAATTCATATAATTGATAAAAGAAAGAGGGATTTCGCGGACAAACTATCCCTTCCTTCGCAACGGTATCCAAATTCATAGACACAACGAATCCGTAAACCTTATCTTCTTTGCAATGCAGACCGCATTCCGCTTACAGTTTATGATTAGTACACAAAAATCACTAACTTTTATAAAAATAAGCAAAATATTATTTGTGGTTTACATTTAGTTTGAATGAATTTGAATATAAATCAAATCTTGCATTTATATTATAAAAATTCATAATAAAAGTACTATAAATATAATAACCACTATAATAATCGTTCAATTGCTTATTTTACATTAAAATGAATTGAATAAATGTTTTTTTTTGTTTTCCATCAGATATTTTAAACAATAAATTGCGATAAAATGAAGTGAAAAAGGATGAAAAGAAATGAACTGAAAATTTTCATTGCTATCTAACATGTTATATATGGCATACCATTTACTATTTTATATAAATTTTATACCCTATTTGGTCAATAAAATAAAATTTTATGTTAGGTCTAAATTTGACTAAATTTAATTTGAAATGTTATTAACATGTATATGAATTTACTATTGGATAATACTATATACATAGTAGTATACAGTGCAACTTCTCTATAATGAACGGCCAGTTGCACGACAAAAGTGTTCATTATAGGGAGGGTTCATCCAAGGGAGGTTCGAGTAAAAGTGTCTTATTTTTAATGCATATTTATAAATAATAGCAATTATTGAAAATAATCAGTAATTTTAGTTTGTTTAGCTATATTTAAGTGACAATCAAATGTATTAGTTTTAATTTTATCCAATTGTTCAAGTATTTGAGCATCGGATGCATCTCTAGATATAAAGTAATAATTTAAAGTTCACTAATCAAAGAATGAATACACATCTCTTACAATATTGAATGAAACTTGATATGAAAATGTGATTTTGTTTGCTTAAAGTCTTAGATTAGAAACTATTTTGAATACATTTGGGAATCATGTGCTTATTATTATATTTGTTCATTATTGGGAGTGCAAGTTTTATCTTAATCTCTATAAATCCGTTCATAATGGGGAGGTATTCATTATAGAGAAGTTCACCTAAGGGAGGTTATTTTAACATTATAAGTATAGGAAATCCAACGTAAATTTCAAATCAGTTCATTATGAGGAGGTGTTCATCCAAGAGAAGTTCACCCAAGAGAAGTTGCACTGTATACTAAATCTTATTGTTATGTATCTCTGTAATCATTTTCTCAACACTTATCATTAGATTCAAATATGATTTGAATAATAGGAAAGTGATATCTTAATGATATGACTCATATCATATGAGATAATATCACAACCAAAATGATGTCAACGTTCCAACACATTGTTTGCATCATATACCTGAGTGATGGGGCAAATTTAAATTGGTCAATTGTTCAATAATTCCAGGTCACTTAATTTGTTATATTCATTTTTTGGCATTATTTGTATTAATTTACAATTAAAATGATCTAGCTAATGAAACGGGTGCTAATACAGTATAAGATGCACAATCTGTTTACAAAGCACTGTATTACACAGTATTGGGTGGCTTTAATAGTGTACTGTATTCCTCTGTTTTGGGCATTTTCTCCTCTATTTCTCTTTTTGGTATCGATTGGAGTAAAGTATAGCCCAAAACTGATATCAATATTTTCGATCGTAGAGTTGATTCAATCAGTCCTAACAATATAATACTTAACTGTTGTGCACTCGACAGGCGTTTGATTGATATAAGAAGTGCACAAAGAAATGTATATTAAAGTAATAACACTCCAAAAAATATAGTAATGATTCTGATCTGCATTTTTTCTTAAGTGATTGCAAACCAACTCTCAGTTAATCTATTTCTCACTCTATTGTGTTATATATCTAACGAAACTTCTTACAAACCATTCATTACTTGTTTGTCTGAAAGGCATTCAGAAAGTTCACTCATTATTGGTCTTTCTATGCATTTTCATGTCATTTCATTCAATGGACTATAATTTTAAATATTAAATGAATTACTTTTATGGTTTTGGGTATTGCAACATTTTTTACAAGTTTTATTATGTAAAACATCACTTGTGTTTCAAATGTATTACTAAAATATTAAATTAATAAAAAGCGACATTTAATTACCTGAGAACGGGTCCTAATAGTAATAAATGCACTAAAATCCTAACCATCCAACCCATGACACCGATTTGGGGCCGACGTATTGATTCAATCCTGTCTTTCCGGTGATCATGTATTAGCCTTAAGGGGCAGAAAATTAAAGAAATTTATTTGAGAAATAAATATTGTATAAGACGTGCAATACTTTAGGAAATGATTTTAAATTTATATATAGTAAAGTACAGTACAATACAGAGAATACATAAAATAATTTTATTGGATTAAATCTAAACATAGTATGAAACTCAAAATATACAGAACTTTAAACAACAATATTATTACCATTTGATACTAAATATGTTGACAGTAATGGATGGTATGATTGTTATGGCAAATGTAAGCCCCAAAGAGAACCTATCGTTTATTCCGTATAAGAAATAGCAAACGGAGAGATCAGTGCCGATGTCTATCACGTAACTCATGAGTGAAATGATTGCGAAGATTGCGCTCAAAACGCCGAAACCATCGCTTTTATCCAATTGTTTGGTATTCGAGCAATAGATTGGGTTGTGATGAGGATTAACGGGTTGATAGTCAGTGGCCCGACCCGTATGGCCTCTGCCCGCCGTTGCATAACATCGGGCGTCCGGTAGTATTGTCTCAATACAGCCGGCATTGTTTCGGCCAATACTACTACCACTACTACAACCACTGCCACTAACGGTGCAGTAATCGGTTGAATACCCGAAATGACTGAAACATTTAATTAAGAAACAAAATAAGCGTTTATTTCATATAATTAGTGATTATTTCTGGAAAAAAACACACAAAACAAAACTCTTGATTGCTTTTGGATCGATAATGAAAGGGAGTGTCGGATTGGATACTAACATAGAGTTGAAGTTACATGTGTTGTAAATGTAATTAAATGTTATGATACCTTAAATGGTGCGGATCGATGGTCTCATATGTGGGGCCAGCAGTCATACGCTCTTCGATGCACTCGCGTATGAGGTCTGCGTGTTGTCCGTGTAATGGCCTGAATGAAGACAATCGATGCGATCGGCCGACAGTCGAGCCGTTATTATTGATTTTTCTGCCCAAACTTCCCACCATATGATGGTTGAGTGTAGTGGTGGGTGAGGGCACACTACCCGCCCCTCCGAAGTGATGTTGCTGTAAATGCATAGACACTTGTGAATCATCACGTGTCACCAAATTAGACGGTTCCTGCAGTTCCACACATTCGTTGAGAACAACCATCGATTTCTCCCCGACTTCTCGTCAATAACAGTACAAAAACACAAAATCAATACTTCAAACAAATGTTTCAAATAGTTTTCCTTTAGAGTAAATTTATTTAAATTTAAAAACTATTTATTTAAATATACTTTTTCCTCAAAATTGCTTTAAATTTAATTAAAGTGCAGATTATTTAAATTCTAAACCAGTTTTTCGCTTTTACTGTCGATTTTTAGCGCACAAACGCTTAGATTGTGATCTCATTTAGTATGAGATCTCTCTTTAGTGTTTCGCTTCTAATTCCTGTCATTATTATTAGAGGTTAAGAATATTCTTGACTTTTATCGCAAATAATCCAAACATTTATTAAATTGATTCCCAAAAAAGAAATTGTCAGATGAAAGGGAATTTTTGACGCAAAGACTAAAACATTTTGTGATCATTGATTTTGATGTCAAGTATGCCCTGGAGTTCAGGTCTGAGTTCGCACTGAAGTATAGATCAAAATATCCGCCAAACCACACATGAGATCAAATTTATTTTAAATTAGTTTCTGATATCATTAGAGCCCCGAGTATTACATACAATGGCAGTGATAGATAACTAATCGCCAAAAATTGTTTTCACACTATATTTGAAATTTCCTTTATTCCTAATAATAAGTGTTTGACTTTCACTGACTTTAATGATAAAAATAACATTAATTAATGTAATTTTAAGGTATTATTTCGTTCCATTAAAGTAGTCTTAATTTTAATGCTATTACACATGACTTGGATGGCAAACAATGGAAAATTTATATAATATATACTGTGAAGTGTGGCTATAATGAAAACCATATCACTTTACATGATCCATACCGTGTATCTATAATATACTTACTGTCCATAAAACAAAGCAACAAACAATAGACTAAACCCCGATATAAATCGTTATATAATTTGTTATGAATGATAAACAAAGCGCTAAAACGAATACAAAACTATTAGTCCTAAAATAATATGGTTTTGAATGAATGAAAACATCCCTTATTTAGTATTAAATGATAAGACCGGAGATATCTATCTCTATATTAGGTTTACTCCTTTTCGCCTCAAATATATAACTTAGAAAAAGGAGTTTTCAATTTCTTTTTACATTTAAAAGAGAATTTCAAATAAAAACATCCATTAAAAAGATTGCTACACATATTTTATATATAGAAAAGTGAATTATTTTAATAAAATTTTGAGTGAAAAGTGGAAAAACGAATTTCTATTAAATTGAATCGTTTGGCGTTTTTTCTGACATTAAATTTCATACATTTTTATGAAAACAAAAAATAATTTTCAAAACATCTGAGATTTATGTTTTAGAAATTGACATTTTCTTTGTTGATATGTCGGCAAAAATAATTGGCAAATGAATTCAAAACTTATATAAAATGTTGAATTACTATTGGGTTTAAATGTGGGGTTTAGGAGCCGCCACGAAGGCTCATAATTGAGTTGAGTTGTGGCCACTTTTGCGTTGGGTATCAGATCTTTCCAACGATCCAGTCTTTTGGCAATCGATATTCAAATCTGTATTCATAGGAGATATTGATTATTAATAATTGAATTGAAATTTAAACACAAATATTACGACAGATTTTGAGTATATTTCATAAATATTCATTTCATACAAACAAACTTATTATTCAATTATATTCTTATATAACAACCGAATAGTGAAAGATTTGAATAATAATCGGTTGTCATTATATGAGAGAAATGTCGACAACAGTATTAGATGTCAATAATGATGACTCTTCTGATCTCTCATTACAATAGTATTTATTAAATGAACACAAATGATAGGCAAAGATATATTTGCTTGAGGTTTGGGCGCAGACGTTGTGTTCAATGTCTTCGCTAATAATCAATTCATACCTCATGTGAATAACAAATTTTATTATTATATTTAATACATTTAGCAATTCTTTACATTAAATATTAAGTAATAACTATAGAAACAGTGATTGAAGTAAACAATACAAGAAATAATACTTTTTCTATAAATAAATTTCTATTTAGTTTAACACGATTTCCAAACTAATAGTTTTTTCAAAAATATATATTTTAACAAATGTAAAAATTTAGATTGCTTTACAATGTATTAATCAATTAAATGTTGCCATAAAAATGCTGATAAAATGCAAAAATAGGATTTAGATAATAATCAACGTTATGTTGAGATGAGTATATGTTTTATTTTAGCGGTTTTCCATTCATATGATGGCAATCGCTGTCTATTTTATGCATTAAAGTTATGGCAATGTTATGGCAAATGTAGTATTAAATTGCATTATATTTATACTATTCTCATAACTCATCGCTTGAAAGACACATTTCTGGCAAATCTTTTGCCACTTTTATGGAGCAAAACAAATGAGAGAAACAGAAAGAGAGAGAAATTCGTGTATTATTTGATTTAGAGTTTTATTGTTTTTGTTGTAGAATATGATTGAAGTTATTTGAAGCAAACAATTAGATCGCAAAGGTTTGGTCACAAGAATTATTAAGTAACGAATCGTTAACATTGATTGTTAGCCAAAAATCAAATCACATTTAATTGAATTTTGGTCTTAACTTCTTCTCTAAGTTATTACGTATTGAATGAAAGCGTAAACATTTTGGCTCAAGAGTTAAGATATGTTTAAGACATCAGACATTAGAGGCAAAAAATATTTAATTCAATGAATTAATGAAAATTGCATTAAATTAATGAAAATTAGACCGAAAGAGAGTGAATGCGAATACAAATGAAATGATTAATCAGTAATCTATCACTGAATTCATTGGATATGCAGACAAATCAATCTCATCTCTGATATAGGAGTGCATATACTGTATATAGAAATGGGTCTATTGTTGCCTTCATTACCATCACTTTCATCCCCCAGTCATGTCTATCCCTTCAACAAAAGCCACATTTCCATTGAAATCGTTGGTTCAGTGCTCACAAGTCAGTGCTATTTGAATGTATGTTCTCTTCACTAGTATTTGAGTTCAGCGCTACTCCTAAGGGATCGTCGCTTCAAAAGTGCACTTCTCTTCCCTTCAGTGATGCTCTCATTGCATGTATTCTAACAGAATATACACAGAATATGCAACTCCTATGTTATGTCTGGCCCTCCGCTGTTAACACTTCCCATACTCTACTATATCTTACATTCAGTATTCAATGCAATGATTAATACATTTTTCAAATCACTTTTCTATCCAATTCTTAACGATAATCATAAGTTAGTCTCAGAAATCATTTGAAATTAAATCACAATAGTTTGAACAAATCAATAGAGACTCCTAATGTATTGCACACAATATATTCTGTTTGCGTTAAATAAGTCAATAAGAGTTAATTAAAGTTCAGATGAATAGAAATTTGATGACAGAATTTATAATTAAATGTAAAAAACATAACATAACATACATATCATTTAAAATAGCTTTATATTTGTTTCTGCGATACAAACGTTAGGAGTTTATAAATACAGTGCACATGAAAATCCATTTTATGCTAATATAAGTCATTTGAAATTACAGTGCATTCAAATTGATGTTTAAGGCATATAATAGGCATATATTTAGACCTCAAATATTTCAATAAATTATATAATATCTTTAATAATGGGGAACATTAGGAAATTTTCAATGAAACTAATAGTTATACTTTTGTATGTTATAAAGCGATGTAATACAGAATTTGAAAAGTAATTTAAATCTTATGGTATTGTGAGTCAAATTAATTATATATAAAATATGTATGAATTTCTAAATGAAAATAAATTTGACGAAAATCTTTTTGTCGCAATTTACGATTATTTCATCTTTTGTGCGACAAATAATAAGTAACAGTAAAACAGTTAATAGTAAAATAAAAAGCCTTTTATATAATAAATATCAACAGAAAATTCTATACATTTTTGATGTTAAATTTATATTAATATATTTTTAAACATTTGACAATAATGTTTAATATAGTGTACAGTAAAGTAAAAATGGTTTATTTATAGTTAAAATATAACATACGATGAAAGGAGTCTTTTAAAAGAGAAAATTGTTACGAGATAAATTTATTGATATATGGTTTGCAATGTATTTACAATAATACAAACAATAATTCTTGGGGTTTATCTGAAAAATTGATTTTTAATAAACCAAACGAAGAAATGTTTGGCAGTATTTGAGGATATAATAGAGGGCTAAGGATAGCAAATATCAATATTTGAGACTAATATTTATATTTCTTAAATTATTTCGAGACGTGACTTAACATAGAGTGGAATCTAATTAAACAAACGCTTAATTGGGATAAAAAAGTTAAAATAATCGAATTATTCAATTACTAGACTTGTATTCATGGCATTCAATGGGAGAGTGAGTGGGAAGGGGTGGAGAAGGAGGGGTGGAAAGCATTTTATATGTATTATAATATCCAAATTAATAAGTTTATGTAAATTTCTAACGAGTTGTTGTTATCTTTCAATTACAGTTATGTATAAAACACAAAACAAGTTTGTTATGCATTAATGATATTTGCATTTAATTATTAATGACTCGTAATATGCATATAACACAAGGATAGCATCAAATCCTCAAAAATAATTACAAAAAAAACTTTTTTAATATATTTAAGTAAAAAAGGATTTTCTTTAGACATAAAAACGAGACTGTATTTGAAATCAATAAATAGTTTACAATTTATTTAATGTTCCCCTTTTGGTGGTAACAAAGTTTATATCGATAATAAATTATAAGTTATAAAAACAATAATTAATTATATCTAGATTTTAAAGACACGAGTGACTCGTGTAGTGATAATTGTATGCCTCTATGACTGCATTTATGTGATAACAATAAAATTGTTTTGCAAGTATTATAATAGATTTGATGAAAAGCTATAAACCGTGAATTTATGATCAAAATATATATTATTATTTATAATATATTGTGATTTACTTATTACTGAACCTAATGGCACATCAAGTCTTCAAATATTAAGTTGCCTTAAAATCCATTCAAGAAAATAATGTGTCGATTATTTAATAAATTCTATTGAATCCAAGTTTTTAAGCATTTATTTTTTGGCAGTGAATGAAAAATTGAGTCATTAGTCTCTACTATTCTTATCAATATTTCATACATAATATACACGTATATAGTCTTTACAGTAATTTACAGTAATCAATATATATTGCTTATAAAGATATTAAGCAATTACATTCATTTTTACGATATATTCTTTAATACAAATTGTATTATACAATACAATATTTTAAATCAAGCAATTAGCCATTTTAAAACAGTAATATATTAAAAATCATGTTTAATACACTCATTCAAATTTGGTGTAATTAGTGTTATTTATTGCTAATTATTTAAAAATATAATTTTAAAAGTTATTCTTTGGATTTGTGGGAATCAAAGGCTAAAAGAGTATTAATATCTATGACATCGAGTGAAGGCAACACTGAATCCTAAATCCATAACAATTCTATGGATTAATTGAAAGCGAAAGCAAATGCCAAAACTTATAACTCTTTTAGCCATCATTTCATATAATAGTAAAACTAATATTGATTTCTGTATTTACTGTACATAATAAGAGTAATTGACATTTATTAATTGTTAGTTTATTAATCGATTCTCTTCTCTTAATTTATAGTTAGATTTGCAAAAGATTTATGACTCGTATTATAAACAAAGAGAAACCAATTTATTTAAAATTTAGCAAAAGATTAGTTAAAATGAATGACTTAATGGGAGTCGAGATTTTTGCTCATTTGGAGTCATTTCTTATAAACGCATTGCAATAAATTTTGATGTCCTTTAAAACACTTTTGATAACTTATTTAATTACATAAGAAAGTAAATGCTATACAAAAATAGCATTGAATATGAATTGTTGGAAAGCAAATACATTACATATATTTATTTTTGTGAAATTATACAAAATTCATGAAATGTTTGAAATGCTAAACAAGACATCAATTTGAGTGAACATAAAAAACAACTAATAAATTATATTTATTATAAATTTTCTCAACGGCTCTGGAAATAAATTTATTTAAAGTATTTGAAACTCATTTGCAATTCGCTTAAAATAAAAACAATTCAAATAATGTATTATTTCAAATAAATTTATTTATTTATTTAAAATAGATTTCGTTTTAACGAATCGATAAACGTTTGCATTTAGAAAATCACAAAAATTTTTTTGTCTCCGAAACTAAATGTTAGAAATAGAGCTCAATATACAAATTGTTTGTTTGGCGAGTGTTTACTCGCATTGAATCAACTAATTATCGCCAAAAATTGCATTTATTTTGTGTTTTCTTACAACTAATTCTTAGGACAATGTTTATTGAACACTATTTTTAAATATATAACACATTTTATTCCATTCGCTATTTATAAAAGAGAAAATATTTGTAAAACACAAAATTGTTAAGATGTCGACGATTTGTGCCATAAAATGTGTGTATAATTTGAAAATATATTATGATTGGATGTAATGTTTAAAATTGTAAAGCATTAGG